CGGGGCTGGGCATTGTTTCCCCAGGGCAGCAGCATCCAGCAGCGGGATGCAGCCAAGGGGTTGGGTGCCCCTCTCCCACGGCCCCATGCTCCCAGCCTGGCATTGGGGTGACCCCCCAGGCCTCCCCGAAAAGTTTTTCCAGCCCCACCATGAAAGCTCTTGCACCTCAACCAGGACGAGCAGAGCTCAGGGCCGGGCTCAGCAGAGGGAGCCACAGACTGTGTGTCCCCTGGCAGGCAGCTGCCGAGGCCGGGACCCAGCCCGGCCCTTTCTCCTCTCTCTCCACATCACTGACCTTGAGCATCACCGAGCCAGAGCCAGGACCTTTGCAACCTCCCCCTGACAGCTATCCCACCCGCTGCTGCTTCTTCCCTACAAAAACTTTCCCCATCCTTCTCTTTCTCTCCTCCAGCTGCCTTGGCATAATACCCATTTCCCTCCCAGTTTACCTCCCCAGGCGATGAGCAAGGGAGAAGAGATTGGACTCGATGAGCACAGAGCCAAGGAGGCGTTTACACAGAGCTAAGGGCTGCCACCACTTCAAAAAACATCCTAAATATATCCTGCGGGTACGTTATGAAGGTGATACCAATGGGGCAGATATTTCTGTTTTCCAATAATTAACATATCTAAGGGCCACACGACTTGTAATATTTCTGGCTAGAGCAAAAACCGCATGTGGAGGAAGATCCCTTGATCCCTGCAGTAGATAAAAATAATAGGTAAAAACAAATTTACCATTTGTTTTACCATAAAGATACACCCCCATCAGTCATTCATTGGCTAATCTGCTTGTAGTAACATTGCTAATGCTAGATACTGGTAACAATTATAGAGGAAAAAGAAAGTTTGCCTTTTTCCTACAGGTGGATGTGCCACAGCATGTCCCGGCTGGAGCAGCAGCGGTCTCCTCCTCCACCCACTCTCACAGCTCTTTGGAAGGTCAGTGCACGGCTGCCAAGGGAACTAAAGAAATACAGAATCACAGAATCATCAAGGTTGGAAAAGCCCTTGCAGCTCCTCCAGCCCAACCATGAACCTCACCCTGACCATTCCCAACTCCCCCAGATCCCTCAGCGCTGGCTCAGCCCGACTCTTCAACCCCTCCAGGGATCCCGGGGACTCCCCCCTGCCCTGGGCAGCCCATTCCAATGCCCAACAGCCCCTTCTGCACAGAAATCCTTCCTCAGAGCCAGCCTGACCCTGCCCTGGGCAGCTTGAGGCCATTCCCTCGGGGCCTGCCGCTGGCTCCTTGGCTCCAGAGACTCATCCCCCCTCTCTGCCTCCTCCTGGCAGGGAGTTGCCGAGGGCCAGGAGGTCTCCCCTCAGCCTCCTCTTCTCCAGACTGAACCCCCCCAGTTCCCCCAGCCGCTCCCCAGCAGACCTGTGCTCCAGACCCTGCCCCAGCTCCGTTGCCCTTCTCTGGCCACGCTCGAGTCATTCAATGGCCTTTTTGGGGTGAGGGGCCCAACACTGAACCCAGGAATCGACGGGCGGCCTCACCAGTGCTGAGCACAGTGAGGTACAGCTTCTCTAGGAGACCAGTGGGATGCTGCGAGGGTGTACAGGCCTCCCATAGCACAGTGAGGGGTTCCCCACATCACACTTGAAGGTTGGGTGGTGGATGCCCATCCAGGAATTGCTCCCTGGGTGGCATCCATACACCCCCAGGCCAAAGAAGCACCACTGTGGTTTGCCTTAGCACTTTGAGTTTCCAGGCCCGTGCAGCTCAGTGAGCTGCGCTTATGGTGGATTTTTAACCTTTGCTTTACTGTTGCAATCTCACTACGGAGCAGCAGAGCAAATAGAGAGGTAACGCGGTACTGACCACTCTGCCAACACCGCCACTGCAAAGTCTCAGTGCCAAAAACACAATGCAAAGTTTTTCCAAAAAACTAATAAATTCCTCATGATTATATTAGCAAAATTTCTTTTAATCCTGCAATTTATTTGCTGTCCCTGTTAACAGCCCAGCCAAAGACTTATGAAGAAGAGCTGTAATGTTTTATATTCTCTCAACTACTACATCATGGCTGCAACTTTAAATACAACTGGAAGGCAAAGCTTTTTCACAAAGGTTATTTCCAGGAGTTGGGCAGAAGGGCTCAGCCACAGCTCAAAGGGCACAGCTGGCTGGGGGCTCTTTCCCAACACCGAGGACTCACTCCAGAGAGCAGGAGCAGAAACCAGAGGCCAGGTAATGAGCAATTTGAGTTCATTAAGCAATTATGAGCTGCTAGAAGGTTGCGACTGCTGCATAAAGCCTCCAGGATGATCAGAACCTTTGATTGCAGCTGCTCAGGAGGTAGATTTTTGGCTAGAAAGAACCTGGTTTGGGATCCCCTGGCTGAAATGCCCAAGGAGAGGCAGGGTTTTTCTGATGCTCCCCCAGGTGCTGACAGGCACTCAGCCTGGATGAGACGTGGACAACAGCCACCCTCTCGGGAGCCCACACCGCACCAATGGCCACCTCAGTCCCACAGCTCCCCACTGCTGAAGGCTCAGAGCTGCAGGTTAGCCATCTGCCAGGGTTTCCCAGCTCGCTGGTCCTGCCCCAGGTTCCTCAAATCTCCCTCTCCAAGACCTCACCCCAAGGCTGACCATGTCTCCACGAGCTCCCCTGGGGACAAGGTTGGGTTGGGCTGACAGCTCTGATGTCTGCAGGCAGTTAGTCACCACCTGCCTGACCCATCTTGATGACCAGCAGCAGGATGTTGTACACAAGAGGGTGCTTTGAGGAAAAAGTTTGCGGATTTGTGCTTTTCTGCAGAGAAGAAAAATCTACTGTGGCAGCATGAAGATGGTTTCCAGGAGACATCAGGGACAACGGGACATGCTGGCAGAGCAAGTGACCCACCAGCCAGGTCTCTGTAGGGAGGGAACCAAGGCCACCTCTTCACACTGTGTGATAAGCAGGGACACAGCAACTCCCAGGGCTCCTCGCTGTGAATATTTCACAGAATCATCTCAGTTGGAAAAGCCCTTGAAGCTCCTCCAGTCCAACCATGAACCTCACCCTGACCATTCCCAACTCCCCCAGATCCCTCAGCGCTGGCTCAGCCCGACTCTTCAACCCCTCCAGGGATCCCAGGGACTCCCCTCTGCCCTGGGTAGCCCATTCCAACGCCCAACAGCCCCTTCTACAAAGAAATGCTTCCTAATATCTAGTCTAAACTAGAATTGCCTGAACCAGATTTTAAACCTGCGTCTAGAGGTGGAATGTGAAGAGAGAGGACCAAAGAGCCTTCACCGGGCACTGCCTTGGGACTTGCTGACCAGTCACTCCACAGCACACACATGCAGGAAATGATGGGAGACACCCAAAAGGAAACCACAGTGATAGAAAAACCACAGAGAAGCTGCTTAAATGGGGGACTTCTGAGAAAAAAAAAAAAAATAAATAGAAGAAACACATATCACTGGAGGGTACCAGAAAATGAGCAGGTGATAAAGACGACGGATCTTGGGAGAAAGGGATTGGAGGATGTCACCTTAATTACAGATTTTGGTTCTTTCACAGATTTGGTTATCCCTCTCTTCTGGATTTTTTTGAGCTGTAAACACTTTCAAGTTGAGTATTTTTTCAGCCCAGTGAAAAGATTTTTTTCCCATGATCACAAAACCAGGGAGGCTCCTTCCCAATCCCACACCTAAAACAAAAAAAGAAAAGATTCAAGATGCAAGGAATAGGAAATTTCTTGCAGAAATGCCCATTTTGATAAACAGGCTGTTTCCCACCACAACCACCAGCTTTAATAGACAACCGTGGGAAACACAGAAGTAACTCAGCTTCACAACAAAGACAATTCCTGACAATGCTCCTGGGGCTTTCCAGGAGGGTTATTTCCAAATAGGATAGACCAATTGGAAAAAAAAAATAATCCAAAAACACAAAGGGCTGGAGGGGGTTTTCATTCATTATTCCTTCTCCATTTCTGATTGCTACAGCGTTTTCCCACAAAGCCACGCTGTACCAACAGAATCCCCAGCCCTGCCTTCTGCCCAAAAACTTCTCTGCTGGCCTTTTCCCCATCCTGGCCTGGTTGATCTTATGCTTTGGCACAGAGTAGGTAAGAGATTAAAGAAGCTGTGCTGGTTTTGCCTGAGATAGAGTAAATTTTCAGATAGGCATTTAATTTCTTCTTTTTCTTCATCCTGATGAGGGCTCCAGCCAGAGGTCAGGCAGCTCATCTATCGCAGTCACTGCTCTAACTGCAGCCCGGACACTGTCTGCACCCCTTGAAAGCGTCTGGCAACATAGAAAAGCAAATACGAAGTGTGAAAGGGCTGCGGAGGGACCTCCCTGGAGCATGCAGGCACAGCCTGCTCTTCTTGGGTGATGCCAAGAGGTGACAGGGCAGCTGCAATGCCGTCCATGGGTGTGCACACACAGCCCCTGCTGTCTCCCTTCCGCTAGCAAAGCGTCACCCACAATGCTCCTCAGGAGTCCAGGATCTGTGAATTTTTATTTTTCCACGGAATTTCAGAAATATCTAAATCCTGGGAGGTCGGCAGGAGGGTCTTTAAGCAGAGTAGTACAGTTTTAGTGGCACAGGGTGGGGTGACCCAACCGAGACTTCAGCTTCAAGGTCTCCTGTCACATTACAGCAGCTGTTAAGACAGATTTGTTCAGGCGTTTAAACATTTGGCCAGGAACCAGGTATTTCCTCAGTGAAGTGTGATGAGACACCCAGAATGGCTGAAGAAGCACACAAAAGGACTAGAAGCCCACAGGAGCCTCCACGCACGCAACTGCCTCTCACCTCCCCTACCCCAGTGTCAGTTCCTCCAGCAACAAGGACCTGTAAGAAGGAGGTGACGCCAAATCTTGGAGGTATTTTTGCTGCCCAGTCAACAAAATAAGGCCTCATCCACAGACAACAACTACTGGCCCAGAAGAGGAACCCAACATCTCCTCAGAGGAGAGGGAGCTTATGCCCCTTCCTCATGCAATGCCCTCGCCTCCAAGTCACCAAGGACACGACCACTCCAAAGGGTGATACTGTGCTTTAATGTTGTAGAGACAACGGACTTTTACGTGGTACAACAGCGGGCTGTACGTACTATACGTATATACACACACTGGGTGTAGTTAAAGCTTGTGTATTTGAACAATACTAATGCTCCAAAAAATGCACCAAGTCTTACAACAACAAAAACGTGAACAAAATCCAAGGCCACAAGTATAGAGGGGTATGTTTTAAGGACTACAGGTCAGATGGAAACAACACACAGTGGTGGCGCAAGGTGAACTTTATCCTGAAGGGAGATAAGTGGTTAAAACACAAACTTTTCATTACCTCAGGAGCGAGACAGAGTTTTACAGAGACTTAATTTCCAAACTAAAGCAAGCGAAGAGAAATGAATGTACTAGCATGTACCCCTTTGGTTCTCAAGTTCTCCTTCCACTTGTGAAGCTAAAAAGAGAAGTTTTCCTCTAGACTTCAGGCAAGAAAGATTTAAGGCTTTTCAGGTGGATATTTGAAACATATCCTGAAAAGTGGCAATATCTGCTCTCAATCATCTAAGAAAACAAATGCCGTAGAGTTAGTATTTTGTAAATATGCAACACACTGCTTGTTCACGCTAACAGACAAACGCTTTTATAGCGCCTAACTCTACAGAATCCAGGGCAGAGGATATTATAAAAGACTTTTCCAACAAAGCTGTGAAGGTCATCAAGGCAAAATGAATGTAATTAAACCCACGAGGTGGTTGTTCTTGCAAGTTCTTTAGGCCCAATGGCAATTTGACTGGACATGATTTTCATTTTGTTTCCAACGTGGGTTGAAGCCAGAGACAGGAATGTTGGTAAGATGGAGTTTGCCAGACCAGGAACTGCCTTTTAGGTCAGCGTACGGGACATCTTGGAGTCATATTCAGCAAAGAAGATATGACTGTGGGAACCTGTACTGTGGGCATCTGACAACCCTGGCTGACATTTTAATTTTTAACTTTTGCCTCCTGTGCTTGGTTTGAGAAGGGAGGTTTTCATTTGTGCCTCATGTTTTCCCAATTAAGAGTTACAAAACAGCCATTAAAATTGTAACAAAGTGTAAGAAGTTCAGCCAAGTCCAGCTGACTGAGACTTTTTGTACCAATACTGCCACATACAGAGGTTGCCACATACACAGGAAAATGTGGTCTGATTCATTTTGACGGCCCTGGAAATGCTTTTCTCAATCACTCTTACGAAATAAGTCGTTGTCATTTCAGGTTACTTTGCCCTGGAATGACCTGCCATCAGGCAGGAGAGGTACAATGTGCTGTGTTGAGGATTTCAGCGCCCACCTTTGGTCCAACGTTTATAAGATGAAAATCTTGAAATGCTTAAAGAGAAATCTTCATTTTCAGATCATCAGACTAGTGTTAGCTTCTCAGTCTAACCCATGGAAATCCATTACAGAAAGCTCAAGATATAAATATTACTAAAAACCTCTTTGGATATCTTAGCACTTTGCAGACAGACTCTGGGGTTTTTTTCCTCCCCCTGTTAACGTTTGCTTAAAAATAGTAAGAAACTGACAGTTAAAGTGGTCAGACATTCTGAGGCACAGAGAAGAAGGTGCATAAAACCCTTTATATTGAGATAAGACTGTGCCCCAAATAATTCAGAAGTTAATTCCCTGCATGGTAAGAGGCTAGGAAAAAATGTGTTTTCAGTTTCTCAAACAAAAAAGAAATACACAAAAAAGGAGGGTTAATACTAGCAAGAATGTAAAAACACCACCAGAAGTAACATCTCAAAGAGGTATAACACACACATCCAGATACTGAAACGACCACTACAGGACTTGTAATAAAATATAGTCAGAGATAATTCCGGACCATCCTTTTCAGCAGAGGTACAGTATTTGCAGTGTAAGTGGTCCTACAAGGATCCACAGCCTTTCATTTGTTTCCTGTGCTGCTCCATATTTACTCTAACAAACGTAACCATTTCATAAATATCCATTTCACTCCCAAGCCCCACTTTTCTCCTAGTAACAGTTATGTTCTGCATCACAGACAGAAAAACCATCTCCAAAACCCTATCCATAGTTTATGATTCTGTGATGTCGGCATCACTGGAAATCCAAGAGGAACCTAACTCATCATTACATTTGTCATTTGCCATCAGAAGTCTTTTACTGCACAAAGACTTCATCTCACAAAGATTATGACGACAATTCACAACGACTTAGTTTAAAGGTAGGATGTAGGAACAAGTAAGAACAGACAGTGACAGTGGACAGAACAATCTCCAGAGTGCATTTAGAGAAAGAAGAACACAGTTTCAGCTCCTGATGAGTGTCAAGAATTCTTCACGGGTCTTTGGATCTTCCCGGAATACCCCCAACATTGTGCTGGTTACTGTTTTACTGTTCATTTTCTGTACCCCACGCATGACCATACACATATGCCTAGAAGAAATGAGAGGGGAGTTGATAAACCAGGCATCAATAAACTGAAAAGAAATAAGCAGTCCTACAAAGAGATGTCTCTTACACCGTCACAATAAATTTTGGGGAAGTGACAAAACCTCCATATCCAGAATGGACAACTGTGAGTCGTACCTCAGCTGTCCTCTATGGAAAAGCAAGCCAAATGCCCAGCGCCCTGCCTTCTCTCCTCAGATCCCAACAAAATCAAAAAAAAAAAGATCAAGCTTCCACAGAATCATCTCGGTTGGAAAATCCCTTGAAGCTCCTCCAATCCAACCATGAACCTCACCCTGACCGTTCCCAACTCCCCCAGATCCCTCAGCGCTGGCTCAGCCCGACTCTTCAACCCCTCCAGGGATCCCGGGGACTCCCCCCTGCCCTGGGCAGCCCATTCCAACGCCCAAAAGCCCCTTCTGCACAGAAATCCTTCCTCAGAGCCAGCCTGACCCTGCCCTGGGCAGCTTGAGGCCATTCCCTCTTGGCCTTTAATGGCTCCAACCCACCAAGCCATTTCCCTTAATGAGCAAGAATGATTCCTGCCTGCACTCTGCCTCAAACACCCATGGCACACAGCTACCGCAGCCAAAGAGGCAACACCCGACAGCTCTGCAGCGCACAGCTGGAATCACAGCCAGCCCACCCGCTACCGCGGAACAGCTCAGTGACTTACGTCGCTTCAATAACCACTCCCACGCCAGCGGGCTGTAAGGCTTCTGTGATGGCTATGGCGATTTGTTTGGTAAGGCGCTCCTGGACTGAAAGAACAAGAGGCAGTTCAGACGTGGTGTTAAATCTGACTAGCATCAACGTACCAGCCCTACCTCAAGAGGTCTGCCTGTTCCTCACCACCACCACCCACACACAAACATACAAGTACTGCTCTTCCTAAGTAAGTTTTGTTAGTACCAAACCCAACCTTATGTTTTGTAACCTGCACAGAGCTGTTATTTGCTTGTTTGTAATGGGAGTCATTTTGCATTACGCCTTTGCAGAAACTGCGTTACCATGATTTGTTACAACAGCTCTTACATTTGCTATTATGCAGTTAGATTTTCTTGCTTCCCTGTTTTCTTTCAGTTTCTATGTATTTGTTCACTGGCTTTACTGCTGTACAATTTATTCCCTACAATTTCTCTTTTTAAAGAAAGGAAATGGAGATCCAAAAAAATGAGCAAATGAAGAGAAGTCTATTGTCCTGTGAAGCTTTACTTCCTGCAGCTCTAGCACCCTCTATTCTCCAGTCTGACACCTAAAGGTCACCAAGACCTCTGTCACCAAGAACAGTCCACATTTAACTGCAGCACAATGAGATCAGGCTGAGCCCAGCCCAAAGCCTCAGATCCTGCAGCTTCCTCCACTTCTCGGGGGCAGCAGGCAGGCAGTCCATAACATGGCAGCTCTGGCTTCATCTCTTCAGACAAGAATTCTTGAAGGCATCTCTCAGATTATCTGTAGGAGACTTCACCTCCAGCAGCATCCAATACTAGTTTAGTTATTCCTGGCAGCTGTATCTTGTAGCACATTTATCCTCTGAATCAGTTAGTGCCTATGTCTATTTTCATAGGCAGATTTTACCCTTCACTGGAAATGCAGAGGCTAAGTAAGAAGACAGATGAGAAACACCCGTTCAATAACGCAGTGTTTATCTTCACACTAAAATTTGCACAGCTACAGTCCACCTACCATTACCCTGAGCTGGCTAGTAAAGGAGTGCACACAAACCAAAAAGTCATCTGTTTACCTTGTAATCTTCTACTGTATATTTCCACGATCCTGAAGGAGACAGGAAAAAAAGACAACGTTAGAGTTATTCCCATCTGTCTGATCTTCACAATTACCCTGACACTATAAACAAGACCACTGTACAGACCCTGGCTGGCATCGCTCGAGGACTTCCCTCAGCACATCACGTTTAGTGACAGGTTCCCCTTACTTGCCACCCCAGAGACTATTTCAGGGGCAAACCTGTCACTTCTCCTTAGAGTTTCTTTTATTGGCATTTCCTTTTAAATTACTTATACCACCGTCCTCCTGCCTCACACAGTTGCAAGGGAATTCAGGCCCAAAAACTCCCTAAAAGCTAATCCTTGAACTGAGGTCAGGCTTCCTCCTTTCACTTCAGTCTGAACCAAAAGCTGTTTTAAGGACAATTCAGATACTGAGATTCCCAGAAGGCTACTGAAGTGAAGCAAGAGATGGTTTGGATTCTTGCGTTTAACCGCAAATTTAACTAAGAGACATAATTGGTTTTATTTAAAACAGATACTCTCCACCCATACATCACACTATCCTCTACATTTCAATGCAGAGAGCTCCTTAATTGCCCCTCGAACCTGACTTCAAATTTAAGCCATTTGTGGGGCAACACAAGTGACACTACCATCATTTATCGCCGCAGTACTCTAATCCACACATTCAAGAAAAGCCTTAGAACTGTTCTGTAAGTCGATGGGTTATTCATGCCAACCTCAAATGCTTAATTAGACATCAAGTGGCCATACAAAGATGATGCTATAGAAAGCTTCAATACCCATCTGGTCAGACTAGACAAAAACCAGACACTGGCTGACAGCCTGAGGCATTAGTTACAAGAAGCATTTCTGACAATGAGACTTGCCTGCTGTTTTGGAGAGAGAATTATAGGCAGAAACTCCCCTTCAGAAATGAAATGGTTGTTACAGCTTTTCTAAACAAAGCATATAACATAATATTTAGATTAAACGTATAGATAGGAAACAAGCCGATGCTCAGATATTTTTACACCGGTGTTTCACAGAAGTAGTCCTATAAGCATATTAATGTAAAAAACAGTTATTTGCATTAGCATTTTCAAGCCTGAGCTTAAAATCCAAAGAAATATGTTTGTTTACTGAATACAGGTCATCCACAACTACAGAAACTCACCACATTAGACTAATCCTATTACGAAAGATTACGCCTACAGTACCAACAGCCTCACAAATCTTTGTTTGAACACTGGTTGCATTATATAGGGCACGAAGGGGAAGCACTGTTTGGCCCACCAATCTCTTCACAGTAAGAACTCAAAGGCAAGTGAGGACTGAGAACATTTTGTTATACAAGAACCTAATCTCTTCATCATTGCAGTATATGGGAGTTTAACTTGAAAAAGAGGCAAGATTGAACCTTCCAGGCACAGCACAGGAAGCCGCGCACATATTCATGCATGTTTCTATACTAGAATAAAGAGTAGGAAAATTGTACACTTCTAGCACCATGTTGCCACTTGCATTAAAAATCACCAAAGACAGGTTTGAGCTCCTTTGTACATCTGCAGTTCCGAGGTAACTGGAGACCAGAGCAAGCACAAATCAACTGATGCGTATTTCAAATGTGATCTTTAAACCTGCATTCAAGCCCGGCAGAAATGAAACCAAGTGCTAAAGACAGTCTCTTCAGGAAGGTTGTTTGCCTTCAGAAATCGAACTCAAAAAAAAAAAAACCAAAAAAACCACACCGCTTGAAAAGATCCAGCCACGAGTGCCAGCCAACACACAACATAAGCTGTGAACTCTTGCACACACATCCCCAAGTATAAAGTCTTTCTCCCAGCAACTGCAGCGCTGACAGCTCAGAACCTCACCCCACAACTTCAGCAGTTCGGTACAGCCACAGAAAACACGTAAGAAAAAAATGTAAATGTTGAGCTGCCTGTTTCAGCCTTTTATTCAGAGAAAAGTCCACTCCTGTAAGCACAGCTAGAAGACATGTAGATGGCCCTCCTGTACTATGAGGTTACGTTAACAAAAACGTGATTTCCAAGGGCCCTTCCACTTCCAAACCAAACTCACTGTTGTGCCAGCAGAGCACAGAACAGAGCTGACTGACTTTAAAGCATTTTAGTGTCATATCCCACACATTTCTTACTCGCTAAGAAAACCCAGCAGGCATGCAGATTTACAAAGCTAATTCTCATTAGTATTATTGGAACTACAGCAATATTAACAGACATATCAGGGAAAGTATAAGCAAAACCTACGTGGTCTTTCTGAACTACAGCCAATTTTTCAGATTCATTTCTCAAGAGACCCTTCCACTCTGGCCCCAAATAATCTGATTATTGACAGGATCTACCATCCTCTTCCTCATCAGAACTAGAAAGTGTCACTGTATAACAAGATTCAGTGCAACAACTGATCCAAGGGCACTCACTAAGGAAAAAGCTATTTTACATTAACAAATGGATTTCTCAAGTGTATCATAATTGCTTTGTTTCTTAGCTGAACCTGATCTATAAAAATCTACCCCACGGCACTCTCAGCAGGTCCCAGGTGAAAGAAAGAAATGCCAAATTTATCTGAAGAGTCAGCTAACAGATGAAAGCTTTAGATTCAGTTAGAACGTGTTTCATGTACAGTTTCAAAGTTTGGGATTTTTGTTCTTATCAGTCAATATACACACAAGTAGTAAATAGCTAGAGATTCCCACTGGGTTTTGTGGCCTGTCTTAGAACACGACCAAATTCTCAGTTGTTCTTGCTTGTGTGCTCCCTGCAGACACCAATGCTTTGGATGAACATACAAAAGCCTTACGGCTCTACTGCAGTCGACTGATGTGAATTCACAGAGAGCTCTAAGACTTATCTGTCCTCTCCACAAAAAAACATAATGCTGAGGATTGGGCTAAATCCAAATCCAGGACACAAAGTGAGCTGAGCTTTAGAGGGGCACCAGATTAGAAAGATTAGCAGAGTTAGCACAGCCTGGAATCCTTTTTAGAAATTAGCATCACTTTCATTACATTAACACTTACCTAGCAAGCTTGCTGAGGCCGAGTACTTGTTTGTTAGGAAGGTAGCCAATATGTACCTAGACAGAGGAGAACAAACCATTAACAGAATCAAAACCACGATTCCAAATGCATATGAAACTCATGCATAGAGAATGAAGATGTGCATTTGCCCCAGAACTAACTCTGGAACAGTCCAGAAGTCTTAGCATGTGGGAGGAACAAGCCACCATGCAAGCCTGGAAAATTGTGGAGCTAACAGACTGTAAATGCCTGGTGAGGTCAGTGTCCCGGTGAAGAATAGGTAAGTTTTCTGAGGGGGAGAAAAATCACAGCTCTTCAAGAGTCAAGGCTTATGTTCCAAGTCTCAGGAATGCTACAGAGTACTACTACATTTGGGTACAAAAAGCAGTCTGTTACTCAGCACAGCACTTTTTGCCTAAAACAAACATGCTTTTCTTTCAAGACCTAAAATGGATTTAGGGAGCGGGAGGGAGAGGGAGCGTACTTGACTTCCAGTGAAAGTTGTGATGGCAAGAAGTACTTAGCCACCAAAATCAGGCTGCGCTTACTGATTTAATTTTTTTTCCTGCTTTGGTAGTATCATAGATCAATGTGCAATTAAGTTAACTTCTATCCTGCTCGAATATGGATTTGCTAAACATTCATACTGAACATGTAGTTGCACTAAGTTGGAATAAGATCTTTAGCAGAAAAATGCTGAGATACAAAGGTAGGGGGAAAGGCATTTACCTTCTTGTTTGTAGAAATCAACACAGGCTACTGAATTTAAGTGGGTTTACAGCTATAACAGGTTATAAACCAGCATTTGTGTCACTGTACCAGAGACTTGAAAAATTAGCCAAGATACAGTAGGGGAGTCAGTGTAGGATTCTGTCTTAGTGCTTTGCCTAGAGGCCCCATCTCAGAATCCTGTATTGCTCTACCTGCAGTTAGAGGTACCACAGTGCACCTAGTTACCTGGCTAACTTGCTCATTCCTATCACTTCTGTTGGGTAATCAACCCACTGACACCTGAAAAGACATGAAACATTTCAGACAAAGAGAGAGACATAACTCAGAAATAAGCATTGAATCCTGTTGCCCATGGAGTATTTTTGTAAATTTCTTAATTTCATTTAAAATGGAACTGCAAATACAAGACCTACTGGTCAATATTTGCAGCCTGTTTGATGTACCCAACAGGAGAATGGTTAGTCTGAGAATATTTAGAGGCATACCAAGTCATTTAGCAGACCATTATACGAGCAGGACGGATTTGATGTTTGCGAGGAGATTTCTCCAAACCACAGAGGCTAAACAGCTAGATGTAAAAAGAATGCATATATTGCCACAGGAGTAATGCAGAGAAAATACACAGTATGTGTAACCAAGAATAACATGCAAAGTAGGAAGCTTGCACAGAAAAAGAAGTTACCTTGTTTTCCAGTAAAAAAATACTAACAGTAAGAAAGAAAGCAGATGAAATTGAGTTGACTCAACTAAATAAAGAGCTGGTTTCTGTTTGGGTATTTTATTTTTGGGACACAGTTTACTTGGCACATATGCAGCACTGATCAGATTTTATAGACAACAAAATCACTTGCTACTCTCTGGCCTGCAAATACTTTACGGTAGAACAGATGGATCAGAATAAGCTCCATCCTTCTGTGCTGATATGGGAGTGAAGAGGCTGAGATCTGCAGAAGGGACTATCCACTCTGAACTCTTCAGTTAACCAACTCTCAAGTTAACAACTCAAGTGGTTAACTTGATAGGCTTTGGGTTTTTTTGGTTTTTTTTTTTTTTTTTTTTAAAGTTGTTGGCATCACAAGTCCAACATCCTCTAACACACCAGCCCCTTTCATGAGAGCCCCAGCAGCCTCCTGCTAGGCAATTTTGACCACCCCCTCCCTGAGTGGGTTTGCTTAAGACAGGGCTGCTAATCAGAAGTTTGTTCCACTCACGAGAGGTTCCCAAGGTGAATGTGCACTAGATAGCTCTGAGCCAGAAGCTAAATCCATGACAGAGTCAGCGTGCAGGGTGAGCTGGTTTAATATCAAGATGTCTGCCCTTAAGGCTTGCTGCTGCTTCATGAAGGAGAGCTTTGATATGAAATGTCAGAAACCATTAGATTTCTTCGACTAGGAAAGGTTGAGCATTATATTTCAGTAGCTTTAATCCAAATAAAAGTCCCATTAAGGAGGTCTTCCTTATTTGTATTCTGAAGATTAACTTCTAGAATCATAGCCCTAAGCAGTAAATACTTAGAGCTTTAAAAGCTGCGTAGTTACAACTATGAAGTCTTTTACATGTACTTTAAGTCTTTTATCATGTATTTCCCCCATTTGCTTCATGAGGAAGAGTTACCTTTCCAACAAATGGAACGAGGTGATGCTCACACAATGAGAACATGTCTATGTCCTTCACAATTACCATCTCATCATGATCTTCATCAAAGATGGCGTCATTCAGAACATCTGAAATTAAACATTTGCATTAAAAAAAAAAAAAAAATAAAGGCACAAGCATGGAAGATTCTTCCAGCCAGTATCTGAGAAGCTTGTAGTAAGAGCACGGCCCTCTTAGAACTACAGATTTTAGGGTAAAGATATGGGAGGCAGGTAAGGAGTAACATCACAAGTACGCTTTGGTTTGCATACGGTCACACAATTGCCACAGTGATATGTCAGCTTACACATATAGCGTTGTATTTAAATAATAGTTTGAGCCCAGGTTAGAACAAATCTATTCTTTACAGAATTACTAACTTCTTAAAACCAATTAAGACTACAGCTGATCAAGCCAGTACTGAAATGAGCAAGTCTCAAAGTGGGCTTCCATTAGTGCTTCCACATACCACAGGCAAAGTTGAGCCTGAGGTTTGAGAAAAGCTAAGCCATCACAGCAGTCTCTTCAAACACTTCAACACCAGCATCACTATCTTCAACGAAGCTTTGCACACAAATAAGATACTCTCTTATTTCATCCTAAAGCACACCAGCCAGCAGCTGTTTAGGCATACACAAAAGTCCAAGAGACAGACCTGTATCCACAGATGGGGGAGAGATATGCTGCCCTGAACCAAAAGCAGACATACATACACATACTCAGGCCTAATTCTGCACCTCAGAGTTAACAGAGAATCAAGGTGGAGAAACTCACAATGATAGAAGGAAGAAGAGACAGCTCAGTAACAAAAAGAACATACAATGTGACACTTTGCTAGTCTCAGAGCTCAGAAGAACAGACCCTCAGTTGATTTTCCAGGTTTAGCAGTCCCCTCACAAGTCCCCAGGCAATCCTGACAGAGGTTCCAGCAGATCACTAGAGTCTCCACAAAGACTGCAGCTAGCTGGACCTCGCTTGCAGAGGTTAAAAGTAGAAGTTTCAAGTTAAGAGAACAAGCCTTCTGAAGGACAAGAGAGAAAAGTTGTATAGAAGAGAGATTAAACCAAGAAAATAGCAAGAGAGAACTAGATGTACAGAAGAGCTGATAATCAGAACAAGGAACTCTGCAAACACGTTAGCTGGAAGACACACTGACTACTTGGAGTTACTTCCAGGAAGCACAGTCACATACCCCATGGCCAGAAGTGGAACTAGGGTGCTCAGGGACTGCCCCTGCTTCATCCACGCCGGAGCTTGGCACCTGCAGTGGCAATTACACAAATCTAATAGTTGTGTCTGCTCTACTTGCGTTTATGCCTTCCCCTGACATGCACGTACACCTAATGGCCACCATCTGTTGTCGATAACGTATCATCATCATGGAGCATTTTAATTTCCTGCTTGCTATCAGCACTACACAGGTAACCCTGGAAACTGTGCGCAAGATGTTCTGCCTGCGACGCATGTTCTCTCCTGAGAATGGCTGGCAACCTGCAAGACAGCGAGGCTGAAGCCCAGAAGGCTTTTGATCAGGTCAGAGTGCAGGAGTAGAGGGCACAAAAGAGGCCAGGAAACAACTCTGTAAAGGCACACGATTTTGTTCTTCAAATTTCAGAGTCTAGTTTACACCAGACACTGCTGGAGAGGAGTTTGCTTACATGGGGAGCATCATGCAGTTCTATAACCATGAATTCAGCCAGAATCCAAAACAGAGAAGGCTCAGAGGAAGGGAAGGGGAGACAGAGCAGCTGTCTGGGTTCTTCAGTCCCTCCCGCAGCACCCCACAGATGTGCCATTTCTGCAGCAGAAAGGCAAACAGTGGTTTCACAAAACCTGTTACTATGCTCAGCATTATTAAAACAAAATCCAAACAGATCCACGAAGCATCTCCAGAGTGACTGCTGCTTTTATTAGACCACCAGCTTGGCTCATACCAGCCTTGCCAGGAGTGTATCAGAGCCCGATGTTAGATATGGATTTACGTCAGCACACTTGCAAAGCAGACTGTTCAGAACAATCAAAAATGGCCACATTCTCATTAAGAGTCACAGTAATGTGTGACAGAGGCTAAGGCCACAGCTACAAGAGAAGGTACTTCCACTGTGAAGTCTCATATATATGCACTTATTGATGTATAAAATATATGTTAATAGATTCTTATAAACTTCATATAAGGAATATCACTATCACTGGAATGCCGAAGAGCTGTGTTGCATCATGGAGAGCTGTTAGCCCTCTTTTAAGGCTGGGAGAAAAAGAACGCTAAGTGACCACTGCAAGTACCACATGGGCAACTTCAGGGGGAAAAAAAAAAATCCATCCTTCTCACAGCTAAAGTCATCAAACAGAAACACAAAGGTCATCCATCTTTCTTGTGTATCCCCTCTTCAGCTACAGCCCAGTCACAGCAGTTTGGGCCATGACCCCTCACTCACAGGCAAAGGATTTTTAGGTGCATAAGCAAATGGATCCGTGCATCAAGAACACAACAATGGTGCTGTGGGATGCTTCACGTTTCACATTTATACAGGTCTTGCCAATTTTGCACCGTAGATTTACTTAATATTAGCAGCAAGCTGCAGCCAGATCACGGAACAGCTGCACAACCTCTGCTGTTCTGCCTGAAGTAAGGTGAGCCGATTTCAAGTCAGCACCAGTTACTCCTCAAGAAGAGGGGGCCAGAGTCCATAAAGTAAGAAACCAGCTTAGCCTTAGCCCCTCCAGTACGCCCTTCACAACTGCCAGGTGACACAGGGAGACAAAGGTAAAACAAAACATGAGAGTGAAGGCCACTACCTGAGTAAATGGCCACGGTGTTGAGAGCCCCAGTCACCCCTACCCTGATCCAGTCCCTTCTGCTTACACTTAACAAGCCTGCTCACCTGAAAATAAACGTAGCTTGAAGCCTGTCTATCCCTAGACCTCCCTCTTTGAAATCCAAAGCTTGTGTTGACAAAAGAGTTAGGTAAGAGTAGCTGCGACAAGATGCTGTGCTATGTCCCACCACAGCACTTGTTTTCAGTAATTACACAGGAGAGACTTGTTTGGCAGAGACTCAAACGCTTTGTGTGGGGAGGCAGTACCATTTTATCTAACTTTCCCTGCCTTTTATTATTTTTTGTTAGTCATTCAATTTGCAACAGCATCAAACAGGGCCCTGGCAAGCTCACCCTGCATCCTACAGCACAAATTCTGGAGAACTTAATGGAGCTGAAAGAACAGAAGAGGAAACGGGGCCCCAGATTAACCAGGCCAGAAGCAAAGCTGGGGATAAATTTGTGCCTCTTTTTCCATACTTTCATTCTACCTACTAGGCCATGATGCCTCTTTCACAAGCTTGATTTCAGTTTCCTCTTTTGGAAGCCCCAACATATCTATTCTTGCCAGTCAGGGCAAGATCTAAACATCATGTAGTCCCTCTGCAGGTCTCGGTTCACCCAGAGCAACGTGGCTGTTACACTGGCTGCATCTCAGCTCTGAAATACCCACCTGCCCTTCTAATGCAACTTCTTCCATCCCTTCTTCCTGTAGCACCAGGATCTTCAAAGCAGAAGTGTGGAAGTCCACAGGACTTATAGAGGGAAGAGGGCTGGAAGTAAATACTAGCTTGGTTTCCTGACAAAGCAAGGCAGCTGCAGCTCAGATGGGCTCCTCCTCACCAGGCTACTTCTCCTTAATACAGAAAAGAAATTCTTCCTCTCAAATGAAGCAACACTTTTACTCCCTCCAAGTACCACGTACGTAATCATCCCCATCAGTAGGGTAGAACAAGATAGTGTCTCCTCTGCTATCAAGAAGATGGGCATGTTCATACATGGTCCCTTGGCCTCTCCGAGTCATACCTCCCCTCACTCTGCTTTTATTAGTCACAGCTGTGCTCAAGTGCTGCCACCAAGCCCTGGCAATAAGCTGAAGGAGACTGCAAATAACACCATTTTCATTCCACACCACCCCAGAAAAGCTAAGGGAATTTACTAGGTTAAGTCCTTAAGCCTAGACACATCATGTTAATAAAAAGCTAAGATTCAAATTAGAATATATGGCTGGAAGGGAACAAGAACAAACATTTTATGTACAGTCAGGGCGCTGTCTAGATTTCAGCTGATTTTGCCTTCAGCCCAGTGTTCAAGTCCTGGTATAGAAACTTCAGTGAGCTCTCAGAACTGAACACTCATCTCTGCTGCAAGTTAACACCTGAAACAGAGCAGAATTAATTTTTTCCCCTTTATCTTCAAAAAGAGTTGATAAAAGCAAAAATTAGAATTGGATGAAGACAGAATGGGAAAGACCTTTTAGGATTTTGCGTCAGAGCTAAGCAAAAAGACCTGTTGCTATAGAAACTATTTGCATGGCTTTAATGTGACATGGGAAAGCAAAAGCACCTCTGGCAACCGGAGAAGCTAGAGCCCATCCTGCAACTGGCTAAGTCAGTGAAGGGAATGAAAGATAGCAGCCCTCTGCAGAGCAGCACTGCATCAGCTTCACAGCACTTCAGATGTCCTATTTTTACTACGCCTGGGAGACAGAAGACTGAAGTGATGTAGTTTGTTCTCACTAGGAGTTAAAGTACCTCCTCATGGTGTTAAGTTGCCTCACTGCTCCACTTCAGAGAGGAGTCAGACTGAGGATTGTTCAGCATCCACAGGATGAAGCAGATTCCCCGAGATTGTTCCCTGAGCTCATTCATCCTGGCAGAGACATAAGGCACAAGGTTCTCCTGACATCCGTTACACAGCTTCACACTGTCCTCACTGCCAGCCCCTGTGCTTCCATCCTGACCCATAAGTCCTGTAAGTCACATCCAGGACCATCGTAGGAATGGGTTGAGGCCAAGGGAGGCAGACGTCCTGCAAGGGGAACAGGTAAGTCACACCTCACCAATGCCCATTAGTTTGAACAAACTAAAGTACAGGCTGAGGTCTGATACCTTCTACTCTCCCAGGAACAGACCAGCTTATGCCTAAACCAGTGGCAGGGGGTCTTGCATGACCTAGGAACAGGTCATGGTTTGGAGGACACTCCAGAAGAGCAGTGCCATCAGCCAGAGACCAAATGCCAAGCATTCATTAAGGGAGAATCAGCTGGGGGG